ACTAAAATATTCTTCCCTTTACTTTGTGACTAATTCTACTCTAATATCTAAACTTCTGTGACTTCTTGTTCTTCCTGCAAGGTGGGTAAATCATTCCATGGTTCAAACCCACAATCACAGCTGTTTCCAGCTGCCTGCCAGGGTCTCAAATGCTTCTGACCTGGGCCTGGAACATGTGGGAATCCAGAGCTTCCCTCTGGCTGCCCTGGGACCCTGGCAGGGGTCAGGAACCCCCCTGGACAGAGCCCCCAGAGACACTGGCTGTGATCTCTGTCCATGGAAAAGAGTTTTCAATCTTACAGGATGAATTACCAGCTCTGAGGGTTTGATATAAGCAATAATTAAGTGTGGCACGGGTGCAAAAGTAAAATTTTAGGATTCTAGATGAGGGGTCCAAAAGGGACGAGATGGAGGAAATTGGGTGTGCCTTGTCCTTTTTCTCCTTCTTCATGCCCTCCATGTTTCACTGTGGTGTTGGCATTTTTCTGTTGGTTCAGGCTGGGGACACACTGTCCAACGTAGGTGACAGATATTGGCACGTTATTGTAAATCCAGCACAGGTAGTTTGTGGTATTTAATGTTTGTACCATCCCACTGAGGGCAGAGCCCCACACGCTGCCCTGCAGGACAGAGCTGCGGCAGGGCAGCAGAACATGTTAGAGATAAACAGAATAAACAACCTTGAAACAGCACAGACCAATTATGGCTTCTGCTTTGGCAGCGGGGCTGACAGACAGAGACTTTCTACAATCTCGGAATCATCAATACCTCAGATTCAGACAGGAACCTCCAAAAATGTCTGAGGGACATTCTGAGTTCCCACACCCCGGGTGGGGAATTAGGGCTGCAGTGTTTGTGCCACGGAGCACCTTCCTCCTCCTCCTCCTCCTCCTCCTCCTCCTCTCGCCTGCCTGGGAATGGATTATTTAGGAACTGCTGAGGCCACCGGTGCTGAGTCAGCCCGGAGCTAATGAACACCCCGGCTGCCCATTTGAAATTTATTGCACCTATTAATTACAACCATTAGCTGCAGCCAGTGAAATTTTTATAATGAGGACCCTGGCGACTTCGCCTCGCTAGCAGCAAATTAACTGCGTGGGGGGAAGAATCAATGGCATCAGCAGACTTTACAGAAGCGATGTTTTAATTAGCGATTCTCTGCAAACATGCCAGGCAACATCTTCTCCCTTCATTATCTCCCCTTAAAGCGATGGTGCTGCTTTGCAGGTCGGTTTTATCCCCTCCTCTGGCTCCTCCGTTGTTGGGTTTTTAATGCTCGGCTGCTCATTAGAGAAGCAGCTTTGAAGTGGGGTTTGGCTCAGGATTGGTTGTAAACAGCGAAATATCCGAGTTTTTTGTTGTTTTTTTTTTTTTTTTGGGGGGGGGGGGGGGGGGAAGTAAAAAGGCAGGCGAGGAAATAATGGGTTTGAAAAGTTGGCTGGAAAAAATGCTAAATTGGATGGAATTTGTGTCTGGGAGGAGGAGGAGGAGTGTGGGGAAGGGGTTGTGTCCACACAAGGAGAGGATGTCCCAACAGAGAGTTCAGGGAGGTTCTCCTGCCTTCAAAATTCCTTTGATTTTGAAGCATTTTTGGATGCTTAAAAAATCAAAGGAATGAAAAATCCTAGGCAAAATTCTGTGCATGGAGGATCCCCATCACCCAGAAAAGCCCAGGATTTGGAATTGAATCCCTGCAAGGCCCAGCTGTAACTCCTCCATGGTTGCTCTGCTCAGTGGGTTTTAAAAACCAGGCTGACAATCCCAAAATCATCAGTCCCTCCTAAAATCCTTACCTGTGGATGTGGCCGTGGGTATGGATGGAGCAGTTATCACGAAAGGGAAATGAAATTTTTTTCCCTCTCTGTTTCATCACAAATAATTTAATTCCATTCTGCTTCCAAAAAAAAAACCAGCCTGGATTTCCCCTGCAAATAATCTCCTTTCCCAAGGAAACAGCCCGGCACGCTGGCAGCAAAAGGCAGCTCTGAAATCTGGGAATTCTGATGCAAAACTTGTTTTTTACCCCCAACAGATTCCCTAAAAAGTTGATTCGAGGGTGCCTCCCAGAAATAGGAAAGATAAGGGAGAAAAATCAGCTGGAATGGAAGGTCCTGGTGCCTGAGCATCCCACCAGGGGACTGGCGGCCACTGGTGTCACTGGGAGTGTCACCAGAGCCGAGCCACCCCTGCCGCCCTTCCCTCCTGGAGCCGGGAGCTTGGAAACGCCAGGAAAATGGGAATTGCTGGGTTAAGGAACAGATTCGGTCCAGCTGCTTCAAAAAGACATTTTTCCGGGCTCGGGGAAAGCGACATTCTGAAAGTGAGCGCGCTGATTGCAGCCAGCTCCCAATTCATCACCGTGACAGTGACAAACATGGCCCGGGGTTATGCAGTTGACTAAAGAGAATTCTCCAGCTTTACATTTTTAATGCTCCACTCATTTTCTCGCCTGCAGCCGAGGTTTTATCCCGAGGATCTTCTCCCTTGAATGGAAAGGGCAGCGTGGGGCTGCCCAGCCCTTGCAAATCAGCCAGAGCTCGCCCAAGCCAGCTCGTTTCATTTTTTTTTCATTATTCCTCGCTCCTCCACCATCCCTTTTTCCACCTTTTCAAGGGGAACAGGAGCGTCAGCCTCAGCTGGTCTGCCTCCATTCTCCGGGGCTCATTCATCATTGTCCCCTGCCTGAATGGGAGGCAGAGGGTCAGCCTGAAAAGCCGGAGCGCTCCAAACCCCTCCAAATATCTCAATAGGGCCCTAGTGGGGTCCCAGCCAGACCCCCCCAGGCTCTCGGCGTGGTTTTGTGTCTGCAAATAGAGGGTGAGGGGGGGACGGGGACGTGGGGTGGCACAGGGCACCCCTGGGGACCTGCCTGGGAGGTCTGGGACTTTTCTGGGTTTTAAAAACATCGTTGTTTAATTTGATTATTAAACACCCCCGGAGCGAGCAGAGGATGGGCCAAAGCTGGGTTAGGCAGTGCCGAAGCAACCCCCACACTGTCCCTGTCACCACCTCCCGTTCCCTGCTCCAGCTGGGATGTGAGCGGCCCCCCTCTGTCCCCCTTTATCCCCCTCGGGTCCCCCCTTATCCTCCTCTGTCCCCCCTTATCCTCCTCTGTCCCCTCGGGCCCGCAATTCGCACAAAAAGTGGCCCCACAGAGGGGACGTGGGAGCCGCGGCCGTGCGGGGCAGCCTCTCGGAGCATCCTTGGAACCCCAAACCACTCCTTTGTGCGGGGTATCCTCTCGGAGCATCCTTGGAACCCCAGCCCGCTCCTTTGTGCAGGGTATCCTCTCAAAGTGAGCATTGATCGAACCCCAGCCCGCTCCTTTCTGCGGGGCAGCATCTCTGAGCGGGTTCCTGTGGCAGGCACATTCTTCTCTCTCTCCGGATTTTGTGCACAGAGAGAAATGAAAGAGAAAACAATTTCTATTTCTGCTCCTTGTTTTTCCCATGTGAAATGTGTTTGGAGAATTGTTTACTTGGGGTGATGGCTGGGTTGGATTCTGGTGAGGATTCTTTGAGCCTGGTGGCCAATCCAACCACCTGGGGCTGGACCAGTCCAACCTACCTGGACTCTTGAGAGAGGGTCAGGAGTTGTCAGTGAGTTAAATATGGTAGTTAGAAAAAGTAAGTTTGTAGTTTTAGTATCTCCTTTAAATAGTATATTAATGCATTATAGTATAGTTATAATAAAGAAACCATTCAGCCTGCTGAATTGAGTCAGACATCCCCATTTCTGCCCACCGGTTCACCCGCATTTCCAGTCGGTTCCTCCGAGCCTCTGCCCGCTCTTTGTGAGCCCCGGAGGTGCCCATTGAATTTGGGGGCCCCCGGAGGTGCCCATTGAATTTGGGGGCCCCCGGAGGTGCCCATTGAATTTGGGGGCCCCCGGAGGTGCCCATTGAATTTGGGGGCCCCCAGAGGTGCCCATTGAATTTGGGGGCCCCCGGAGCGGTCCCCAGCTGGCCGCGGCGGCAGGAGGGGATTCAGAGCCGCCTTTGGGGCTTTGTGCTGCCGCTGGGGACGCCGAGGGGAGGGCCGGAGGTGGCGTCGCCCCCGGCGCTGTCACCGCTGTCGCCGATGGGGCCCCACCTGCTCCGGCTGCTTCATTTCCCCCCAGCTGGGAATCAGGGCTGCTCCAGAGCCCTCCGGGGCTGTGCGGTGGGGAAAGGGGGGCAGAAATGCTCATGTCAGACCTCAGTTCAGAAGGCTGAAAGATTTTTTTGTTATAACTATACTATAAGACATTATATTATACATTATTATATGCATTATTATGCATTTTATACATATTATACATTATTATATACATTATTATGCATTGTATACATTATTATATACATTATTATATGCACTATTATATGCATTATTATACATATTATACATTATATTATACATTATTATATGCATTATTATACTATATTATACATTATATTATACATTATTATACATTTTATACGTATTATACATTATACTATACATTATAGTATACATTATTATACATTTTATACATATTATACATTATATTATAAATTATTATACATTATATACATTATTATACCTTGTATACATTATTATACATTATTATATAATACATATTATTATACATTAATATACTATTTAAAGGAGATACTACAACTACAAACCTGCTGTTCTAACTACCAAGGAAGGAAGGAAGGAAGGAAGGAAGGAAGGAAGGAAGGAAGGAAGGAAAATGGGAAGGAAGGAAGGAAGGAAGGAAGGAAGGAAGGAAGGAAGGAAGGAAGGAAGGAAGGAAGGAAGGAAGGAAGGAAGGAAGGAAGGAAGGAAGGAAGGAAGGAAGGAAGGAAGGAAGGAAGGAAGGAAGGAAGGAAGGAAGGAAGGAAGGAAGGAAGGAAGGAAGGAAGGAAGGAAGTCCCAGCCCAAGGTGATGCCCCTGTTTTGGGATTTTGGGGCTCTGCTCCCCACCCTGCCCCTGCACCCCCAGCTGCTGCCCTGCCTCCTCTCCCTGTCCCCCTCCAGGTCTCCCGGAGTTGCTCCCGAGCCTCTCCAGCTCCGGCTGATGCCCCAGTTCACCTTCGCCTGTTTCTGTGGCCTCCACGGCTTCTGCAAGATGAAGAGGAAGAAGGAAGAGGCCGGCGGGGGGCAGGAGACGGCCGTGTGAGGGGCGGCTCTGCCCGGGACCCCTCTGTCCCCTCGGTACGCCGGGACCACCGGGGGCTCTGCCCGGGACCCCTCCGTCCCCTCGGTACGCCCGGGGTACTTTGGGTGCCCCCTTCTCCCCTCTCCCAGGATCAACTCCCTGGTGGTGCCAGCCCTGCCCGGGGGTCCCTGGGGGGTTTTGGGGGGGCTCAGGGGCTGATCCAAAGTGTCCAGGGTGGTGCTGGGCAGGGGAAGGGGAGCTGAGTGATGATGGGGGAGCACAGGGAGAGCTGTGTGATCTGCTTGGTAATCCTGCAGATTCTCCATTTGTCCTGTAGGTTCTCCATTCATCCCACAGATTCTACATTCGTCCCACAGATTCTCCCATTTATCCCACAGATTCTCCCATTTGTCCCACAGATTCTCCCTTCATCCCACAGATTCTCCCATTTGTCCCACAGATTCTCCCTTCATCCCACAGATTCTCCATTTGTCCCTCAGATTCTCCATTCATCCTCCAGATTCTGCATTTGCCCCTCAGATTCCCTCATCCCACAGATTCTCCCATTTATCCCACAGATTCTAACTTTTGTCCTGCAGACTCTCCCATTTATCCCACATATTCCCCATTTATCCCACAGATTCCTTCCCTCATCCCACAGATTCCCCATTTATCCCACAGATTCTCCATTTATCCCCCACATTCCCCATTTATCCCACAGATTCCTTCCCTCATTCCACAGGTTCCCGTTTTATCCCACAGATTCCCATTTTATCCCACAGATTCCCATTTTATCCCACAGATTCCCATTTTATCCCACAGATTCTCCACTTATTCCTCATATTCTCCCATTTATCCCCCACATTCTGCATTTATCCCCCACATTCTCCATTTTTTCCACAGATTCACCGTTTATCCCATAGATTCTCTCCCTCATCCCACAGATTCTCCATTTATCCTATAAGTTCTCCTTTTATCCCCCATATTCTCCATTTATCCCCCAGATTCTCTCATTATTTCCTCTCCCCTCCCTCTCCCCAGGCTCCCCGGGGCAGAGCCAGAGCCCGCCCTGACCTTGCCGAGGATGTCACCCTGATGTCACCCCGATGTCACCCCGGTGTCACACAGGTGCCGCTGCCACCCTGCCCGGACACCCCGTCCTCCCTCATCCCTCTGGGAGCGACAATTCCATCCTGATCCAGCCCAGCTCCAGCAATTCCCAGCAGAAAGACACGGAAAAATCCCAAGAAACCGGCCCAGAGCTCATCCATGCCAGAGCCGGACGGTGCGAGGTGCAGCTCATCCTCCCGATCCCGGATCCCACCGGAATTCCTACAAATCCCTGTCCACGGATTCCGCCAGAATTCCTACAAATCCCTGTCCATGGATCCTGCCGGAATTCCTACAAATCCCTGTGCCATGGATCCCGACGGAATTCCTACAAATCCCTGCCCATGGATCCCGCCAGAATTCCTACAAATCCCTGTCCACGGATTCTGCCTGAATTCCTACAAATCCCTGTCCACTGATCCCACCAGAATTCCTACAAATCCCTGGGACACGGAACCTGCCGGAATTCCTACAAATCCCTGTGCCACGGATCCCACCGGAATTCCTACAAATCCCTGTCCACGGATTCTGCCGGAATTCCTACAAATCCCTGTCCACAGATCCCACTGGAATTCCTACAAATCCCTGTGCCACGGATCCCGCCAGAATTCCTACAAATCCCTGGGACACGGAACCTGCTGGAATTCCTACAAATCCCTGTGCCAAAAATCCCGCCGGAATTCCTACAAATCCCTGTCCATGTATCCTGCCAGAATTCCTACAATCCCTGTCCACAGATCCCTTCGGAGTTCCTACAAACCTCTGTACCACGGATTCCGCCGGAATTCCTACAAATCCCTGTACACTGATCCCGCCGGAATTCCTACAAATCCCTGTCCACAGATCCCGCCAGAATTCCTACAAATCCCTGTCCATGGATCCTGCCGGAATTCCTACAATCCCTGTGCCACGGATCCCACCTGAATTCCTGCAAATCCCTGTGCCAAAAATCCTGCTGGAATTCCTGCAAATCCCTGTCCACGGATCCCACCAGAATTCCTACAAATCCCTGTCCATGGATTCCGTTGTAATTCCTACAAATCCCTGTCCACGGATTTTGCCGGAATTCCTACAAATCCCTGTCCACGGATCCCACCAGAATTCCTAAAAATCCCTGGGACACGGATCATGCCAGAATTTCTACAAATCCCTGGGACACGGAACCTGCTGGAATTCCTACAAATCCCTGTCCACAGATCCCTTCGGAATTCCTACAAATCCCTGTCCACGGATCCCACCAGAATTCCTACAAATCCCTGTCCACGGATTCCGACAGAATTCCTAAAAATCCCTGGGACATGGAACCTGCTGGAATTCCTACAAACCTCTGTGCCACAGATTCCGCCGGAATTCCTACAAACCTCTGTACCACGGATCCCACCGGAATTCCTACAAATCCCTGGGACACGGAACCTCCTGGAATTCCTACAAATCCCTGTCCACAGATCCCGCTGGAATTCCTACAAATCCCTGGGACACGGATCGTGTTGGAATTCCTACAAATCCATAAGCCACGGATCCTGCTGGAATTCCTACAAATCCATAAGCCACGGATCCCACTGGAATTCCTACAAATCCCTGGGACACGGATCGTGTCGGAATTCCTACAAATCCCTGCCCATGGATTCCCGGCATTCATGGAAGGAGCCTCCAGCTCCTGGGGAAGGCCGAAAGATGAATTTGTTCCCAGCAGCAATAATCCTTTTTTTTCCCTTTTTTAACCCCATCACGCCAAACTTCCCTCGGAGCTGCCCCGCTCACATTCCCACCGGGAATTTGGGGTGTGTGACCCCAGGCAGGACAATTCCAGGAGATTAAAAAAAAAAAAAAATCAAAAAAAAGCCCCTTTTTAAATATTTTTCTCCCCAGAAAATCACCAGCTCAAAGCCGTCCCTTCTCCCTTCCACAGGGAGGATTTTCTTCCAGGTATTCCCAGTCTTCCTATAGGCCAAAATAATTTGTGGCTGCCCCAAAAATTGGTGTTTTTCCCAATGTTATGCCAAGGACGAAGCTCCAGGTGGGCTCAGGGAAGTTCCTCAGCTTTGGGAAAACGCTGACTTTGTTCTGTTCCTGTTTTTTGCACATCAGCAGAGCCTCCCCTGTTCCACCTTTGCATCTGCAGCGCTGCCCTTGGCGAGGACAATTTGGGATCAGCTCTGGGCAAAAAAAAAAAAAAAATCCACAAACCCAAAAAAAAAAAACCAAAAAAAAAACACAAAACAAAAAAAACCCCAAAAACCAGAAAAAAAACCCCCAAAATCCAAGGATTTGGTGGAACTCCAAGGGCAGCTCCTGAATGTAACTTTATTTTTGCACAAGGATTTGTGGTGGCCACACGAGGCATGCATTTAAGGATTTAAATAAGTTGGGATTCATCCCTGCTCTGGAAATGCTCAGGGGTGTTGAGATAAGGCTGGAATTCCAGCTTTGTTTTATTCCAGCATAAATCCAGAGGGAGAATCTGACACTGAGATACGTAGGAAAATATTAATTATAGAAAAACGAGCTTGGACTGATTCCCATCCCGCAGATTTCTCCCGTTTCTCCAGGTTTTTCCTATGCAAAAACACACAAAAAACCAGCAAAAACAAAGCCAGGTCAGCAGCAAATCCTGACTCAACAAAGCCCCGCTTAAACCTCAGGTTTTGCTTTGGGATTTTGCTCCACCCCATCGATTTTCCTGATTCCAGCCTGGAATCCTTGCAGCCTCTCCTGACAATGATCAAAGCATTAAATCTCTTTTTATTGTTCTTTTTTTAATCCCTGCTGCCTGGATTTCTTCGGGAAAGGACTCCCGAGATGTACAGCCATAAGAATCTGTACTGTACGTTTAATTTTTGGGGTTTTTTTTGGGGGGGGTGTGGGGAGGGAGGAGGGAAAAATCAACGTGGCATTTGTAAATAAGCACAGGCATCTTCCACGCACAGAGCAGAGCGCTTCCTATAGGAATTCCTATGCCAGAGGAATAAATAAATTAATAAATAATGAAATAAATAAATAAATAAAATATTTATGATAATTTTCAGAGTGTGGGTTTTATGGCCGTTTGCAGCTGAGGGGTTTTGCTCCCTCTTTTTCTTGGCTGGTTCTTCAACGTCAACCCCAAAATTCACCCTTCAAAAATGGCCTGAAATGCAAATTCCCGATGTTTGTGGATGGGATGGATGTGGGGAAGCACAAACCAACCCCACAGCAATTCCTGGGATGTCAGGAAAACTCCCAGGCAAAGGCTCTGGAAGTCAGATGGGAAAAAAATCCCAGCGGGTTAATTTGAGTGATTAATTATTGGGCTCCATCCTAACGAGCATCGCTGGGATTTATCATTTCCCTGGAGGATTTTCTTCCCTGATCCATCGTCTCAAGGGTGCTCCTCCTTCCCAGCGGGATTTGGGGAATCTCCCAGATCTCCTCGGGGAGGGATCCAGGTATGGATCCAGGGAGGGATCCAGGGAGGGATCCAGGGACATCAGGGAGGGATCCAGGAAAGGATCCAGGAGCACCAGGGAGGGATCCAGGAGCACCAGGAAAGGATCCAGGTAGATCCAGGAGAGATCCAGGAGCATCAGAGAAGGATCCAGGAACATCACGGAGAGATCCAGGAGAATAGAGAGGGATCCAGGAATTGCAGGGAGGGATCCAGGAGCATCAGGGAGGGATCCAGGGACATCAGGAAAGGATCCAGGAACATCAAGGATTCAGGAATAGCAGGAAGGGATCCAGGAGCACCAGGAAAGGATCCAGGGAGATCAAGGAGAGATCCAGGAGAATAGAGAGGGATCCAGGAATAGCAGGAAAGGATCCAGGAGCATCAGGGAGAGATCCAGAAATTACAGAAAGAGATCCAGGGACACCAGGGAGGGATCCAGGGACACCAGGGAGGGATCCAGGAAGGGATCCAGGAGCATCAGGGAGGGATCCAGGTGCCCCAAAATGTTCCTCCTGAACTGAGGGAAAATCTCAGAGCGCAAACCTCACCCTGCCAGGAGCAGAGCAGGACCAGAGCACCTCTGCCACTGCCACCTGTCCCCTGTGTGCGGAGAGCTCCCGATATGTGGAGAATCCCCGGTGTGCAGAGAATTCCCGGTGTTTGGAAGATTCCCGGTGTGCGGAGAGCTCCCGGTGTTCCAGTGTGAGGAGAATTCCCGTTTTGCAGAGAATTCCCAGTGTGCAGAGAATGCCCGGTGTACAGAGAACTCCCGATGTACAGAGAATTCCCGGTGTACAGAGAATTCCCAGTGCTTGGAGGATTCCCGGTGTGCAGAGAATTCCCGGTGTACAGAGAACTCCCGGTGTACAGAGAATTCCCGGTGTACAGAGAACTCCCGGTGTACAGATAATTCCCAGTGTACAGAGAATTCCCGGTGTTCGGAGAATTCCCGGTGTGCAGAGAATTCCCGGTGCACAGACAATTCCCGGTGTAGAGAATTCCCGGGGTACAGATAATTCCCGGTGTTTGGAGAATTCCCGGTGTACGGAGAATTACCGGTGCACAGATAATTCCCGGTGTACAGATAATTCCCGGTGCACAGATAATTCCCGGTGTAGAGAATTCCCGGTGCACAGATAATTCCCGGTGCACAGATAATTCCCGGTGCACAGAGAATTCCCGGGATTCGGGCTGGCAGCCGCCGGTGCGCGGCGGGGGACGCGCCGAGGGTTTCAGAGCGCGGGCGGCGGTGGCGCTGCCGGGACCTCGTGGCGCAACGGTAGCGCGTCTGACTCCAGATCAGAAGGCTGCGTGTTCGAATCACGTCGGGGTCACGGCGGCCGCGGGGCCGCCTTTTTCCCGCACCCCGCGGGGTTTGGAGGTTCGGGGGGCGGGGCCCGCGGGATTTGGGGGCGGGGCCTGTGGGGTTTGGGGGCGGGGTTTGTGGGTTTGGGGGGCGGGGCCTGTGGGTTTTGGGGGTTCGGGGGCGGGGCCCGTGGGGTTTGGGGGCGGGGTTTGTGGGTTTGGGGGGCGGGGCCTGTGGGTTTTGGGGGTTCGGGGGCGGGGCCCGTGGGGTTTGGGGGCGGGGTTTGTGGGTTTGGGGGGCGGGGCCCGTGGATTTTGGGGGTTCGGGGGGCGGGGCCCGCGGGTTTTGGGGGTGAACGCGGCCCCCCCGGGTGCTGGGGGTGCTCCTCGTGTCCTGCTTTGGGCAGGGTGGGAGTGTATAATATAACAAAATAATTGTATTATTTTTTATACTTTTTATATTTATATATTACATTACATTACATTATATTGCATTATATTAAATGACATTATACAACAGCATGTTATATTATAGTACCTTATATTACATTACTGCATAATGTAGTATACATTATATATGTATATTACATTATACATTATAATATACTATATTATATTACATAATGCATTACAATATATTAATTATATTATATTATATTATATTATATTAATTATATTATATTATATTATATTATATTATATTATATTATATTATATTATATTAATTATATTATATTATATTATATTATATTATATTATATTATATTATATTATATTATATTATATTATATTATATTATATTATATTATATTATATTATATTATATTATATTATATTATATTATATTATATTATATTATATTATATTATATTATATTATATTATATTACATTATATTACATTACATTACATTACATTATATTACATTATATTACATTATATTACATTATATTACATTACATTACATTATATTATATTACATTATATTACATTAAATTACATTACACTACATTACATTACATTATATTACATTACATTACATTACATTACATTATATTACATTACATTACATTATATTGCATTATATTGCATTACGTTATATTATATTGCATTATATTACAGTAATGTATAATGTAATACACATTTTAAATGTATATTACTTTCTAAATAACAATATATCACATTGTATTACATGATATTACATTATTATTGCATTAATGTATAATGGAATATACATTATATATTCTATTAATCACATTATATTACATTTATTGCATTACATTATATTACATTACATTACCTTACATTATTACATTAATGCATAATATAATATATATTAGATTATATTACATTAGATGACACCCAGCTCTATAAAATCTCAGTTAATCGCATAAAATCGGATTTTTACAGCGATTTTTACCCGCAGCTGCTGCTGGCGCTGCTCTGTGCGGGGTCAATGATTAACCGGGAGCAAAGTCCCCCTGCCCCTGTTCCAGCTCCTTATGGAACTTCTGTTCCATTTACATCATCATGTATCAATTCGAAATTTAAATTGCATTTTTTATTTAATTATTTCATTATATTAAAATTCTAAAATTAATTTTAAACTATTTTTATAGTTTAATATTAATTTCATTCTTATAAATTATTTATATTTTTCTATTTTAAATTATTTTTTAAATTTTCTTAGTTTTTAAATTATTTTTTTAAATAGTTAAAATTTTAATTAACTTTAAATTTTAATTTTAAACTATTTCTTTCAATTAAATAATGAAATTTTGTAATTAATTTCAAATTTTTATTCAATTATTACATTAAATTAAATAATAAAAAAATTTAATTGATTTTTTCATTTACTTTTAAAATTATTTCTTTAAATTAAATAATTAAACATTTTAATTCATTCTTCCATTTAATTAATTTTTAAAATTTTTAATTTAAATTTCATTTAAATTCAATTATTTTAAAAAATTAAATAACTAAATATTTAAATTCCTTTTTAATTGCAATTTTAAAATTATTTCTTTATATAATTAAATTTTTAATTAATCACAAATTAATTTTTTATTTAATTATTTAATTAAATTTTTTAAATTACATTTTAAATTAATTTTTTAAAAATATATTTATTATAAAATCCACTAAAATCCACAGCTCAAAGCTGCTTCCACTCCATGAGCTGCAGCTGATTTGGGATGGATTTGGGGTGGTTTTGGGTTTATTTTGGGGTGATTTTTCGGATGGTTTTTGGGTGGTTTTGGGGTGATTTTGGGATGGTTTTGGGGTGGTTTTGGGGTGGTTTTTAGGGTGGTTTTTGGAATGGGTTTAGGATGGCTTTTTGGGATTGATTTTGGGATGTTTTTGGGGTGGTTTTTAGGGTGGTTTTGGGGTGGTTTTAGGATGGTTTGGGGGTGATTTTGGGATGGATTTTGGAGTGGTTTTTTTATAGTTATTGCGGTGGTTTTGGGGTGTTTTTTGGGATGGGTTTGGGATGGATTTTGGGATGGATTTTGGGATTGTTTTGGGATGGATTTTGGGGTGATTTCTGGATGTTTTTTGGGTGGTTTTAGGATGGTTTTGGGGTGGTTTTGGGGCGGTTTTTGAAGTGGTTTGGGGGTGGTTTTTGGGATGGTTTTTGGAATGGGTTGGGATGGTTTTGGGGCAGTTTTTGGGATGGTTTCGGGGTGGTTATTGGGGTGGTTATTGGGGTGGTTATTGGGGTGGTTTTGGGGCGGTTATTGGGGTGGTTTTGGGGTGGTTATTGGGGTGGTTTTGGGGTGGTTATTGGGGTGGTTTTTGGGATGGTTTTGGGGTGGTTATTGGGGTGGTTATTGGGGTGGTTTTGGGGCGGTTATTGGGGTGATTTTGGGGCGGTTATTGGAGTGGTTTTGGGGTGGTGTTGGGGCGGTTATTGGGGCGGTTATTGGGGTGGTTATTGGGGTGGTTATTGGGGTGGTTTTGGGGCGGTTATTGGGGTGGTTATTGGGGTGGTTTTGGGGCGGTTATTGGGGTGGTTTGGGGCGGTTATTGGGGTGGTGTTGGGGTGATTATTGGGGTGGTTTTTAGGATGGTTTTGGGGTGGTTTCGGGGCAGTTTTTGAAGTGGTTTTGGGGTGGGTTTTGGGATGGTTATGGGGTGGTTATTGGGGTGGTTTTGGGGTGGTTTTTAGGATGGTTTTGGGGTGGTTTTTAGGATGGTTTTGGGGTGGTTTTTGAGGTGGTTTTGTGATGGTTTTGAAGTGGTTTTTAGGATGGCTTTGGGGTGGTTTTAGGACAGTTTTTAGGACGTTTTTCCCCCGTTTTCCCACGTCCCTGCCTGCCTGGAACCCGTCTCCCCGCGTTTGCAGGCGCAGCTGGTGGATTTCACCTCACGGGGAAAAACCTGATGGAGAAATCCCGGAGTTCTGGGCTCCTGTCGGCACCAATTAAGGGACTCCCTGCACTGAAAACATCCTTAATTAACTCCTTAATTAACTGTCAGCCTGAAAAATCTCAGGGAAAAAATTAGGGATCTCCCATCCCCTGCGTTTCTCTCCCTGCTGGCACAACAAAATCCTTATTTTCCCTCTTTATTTACCAAAAAAAAAAGTTTTCCCTCTTTATCCACAAAAGGAAAAAAAAAAAATCCATTTTCCCTTTTCACCCACAACATTATTTTTTATAATTATTATTAAAATTATATATAATGTATTATTAGATATTATTATTGAAAATATTGTTATAATTTAAATTATTATTGTTATTGTTATTGTTATTGTTATTGTCATTGTTGTTATTGTTATTATTGTTATTATTGTTATTATTATTACTACTACTGCTACTATTATTTTTAAAACCAACCAAAACCCCCTTTTCTGCTTTTCCAGAGCTGATTTTTCCCATTTTTCCCCCATTTTAGTTCCTCCTGCTGCTCCCCCCGCCCCCATTTCCCATCCCAGGAATGGTTTTGGGATGGAGTTGGCTCAGCCTGAGGTGCCGCAGGTGAGAAAAAGAGAATTAAAACCGGGAATTAAAAACCTCCCTGGTGTCATCTGCAGGAATTCCTGCTCCTCTCCTGCTGTTCCCATGGAAACAGATGTGGAATTGCAGGGATTTTATCGATTTTCAGGACTATTATTAATTTTTTTCCCCTTTAAACAGCGATATTTCCTTTATCATTCCCAAGCAGGCTGGAGCAAACAAAAAATCTGCTTTTTTAAGGAGCAAAAAAAAAAAAAAAAAGAAATCTTTGAAGGATTTTTTTTTTTTTTTTCACCAAGTTATTCTGTAGCGCTTTGAGGAGGAAAAGATGATTTTAACACTTTTTGAGACAACCAGGTCAGGGAAGAAAAATCCTGGGATGGGGATGGGGGCAGGCTGGGAATTGGCTCCAAAGGCTCCAACATCCCGCTCTGTGAGCTGCTTGTGGGATGAGGGAGCAGAATTTTGGGAATTGGCTCCAACATCCCACTCTGAGATCCTTGTGGGATGAGGGAGCAGAATTTTGGGAATTGGCTCCAACATCCAATCTTGGGAGCTCCTCGTGGGGTGCAGGAGTAGAATTTTGGGAATTGGCTCCAACATCCCACTCTGAGATCCTTGTGGGGTGCAGGATCAGAATTTTGGGAATTGGCTCCAACATCCCGCTCCTGTGAGCTGCTTGTGGGATGAGGGAGCAGAATTTTGGGAATTGGCTCCAAGGGTTCCAACATCCCAGTTCTCTGAGCTTGCGGGATGCAGAGAGAGAAATTTTGGGAATCAGCTCCAAAGGGTCCAACATCCCGCTCCTGTGAGCTCCTTGTGGGATGTGGGAACAGAATTTTGGGAATCAGACCCAAAGGATCCAGCATCCCCCTGCTCCAAGCTCCTCATGAGATGCAGGGAGAGGAATTTTGGGAACTGGCTCCAAAGGCTCACACATCCCGCTCCTGTGAGCTCCTTGTGGGATGTGGTGAGAATTTTGGGAATCAGCTCCAAGGGTTCCAACATCCCGCTCCTGTGAGCCCCTTGTGGGATGTGGTGAGAATTTTGGGAATCGGCTCCTGAGGCTCCAACATCCCGCTCCTCCGAGCTCCTTGTGGGATGCAGGGAAAGAAATTTTGGGGTTCTGCTGCCCCAGCCGCCCTTGCCGTGCCCTTTTCCCCATTTTGGGGTGGCATCCATGGGATGGGCTCTTCCCTGGCTGATCCCCGGGATCCTCCCATCCCTTCCCAGACACTCTCTGCCTCCTCTCAGCTCCGGCTTTCCCGATTTTTACCAAAATTCGCCGGGAATTTTCGGGCGAGGAGCGGGGGGAGCGCCGCGGTTCCAGAACATCCTGTGCGAGCGTGGCGAGCCATAAAAGGCTCAGGGATGGATCGGGAACGCCGGGAATTCGCACGCACAGCCCCGAGGAGGAGCCCAGCTGGGGAAACCCTCCCCGCCCTGAGTGTCCTACATCTTCCAGAGGGGGAACAGCAGCGCCGCTGGATTTACGCGGATTTTTTTATATATATATATTTTTTTTTCCCCTCTTCCCACGCAGCAATTCCCAGTCCCAGCTGCTCCCGGCGCCGCTCGCAGCCCGGCGGAGAGTGGGAGGAAGGGGATGCTCGGAGGATTTGGGAAAATCCGGAGCATTTCCAGCCATGCTCCACCTGGCGCGGCGGCTCCGGAGCTGTGAGTATTCCCGAGAAATCCTGGAAAAGAAAGGAGGGAGGGAAGGAGGGAATTCCTCACTGGAGGTCGTTTTGGGGATGCTTTGTGACCCCGTGTCCTCCCAGGCTTTTCAGGAACAGCCACACGCAAAGCTTGGAGTTTGTTTTTGCCTTCGAAAAATTGGGTGGGGAAAGATGATTTTTTTTTTCCCTTACTTTTTATGCAAAAGGATGGGGTTTTCCCATACTTTCTCCCCCCAAAATCCCACATTTTCAGCTTTTCTCCTCCCAGCATCCCCAATCCCATTTTTCTGGCCTTTCTCCCAGACCAGGCCCGGCAGGGATGGGGTTGCTGTGACCTCTCCCAGCTGTGATCTGGCCCGAGCTCTTCCCGTTCCCTCTGCAGCCGGAATAAAGAGGAAAAGGAGCTCTGGAAACACAACCTGGGAGGCTGCAGGGCTTGGAAAAGCCTCTCTGTGTTTGACTCGTGCAGGAGAGCAGCTGCTGGGGCACAGGGAGCTTTTTTGGGGATGAGGGGAGGGATTCAGGATCCTGGTGAGAGCTGGGTAGGGAAGGGAGACCCTTTGCTCTTGCAGGTGGGTCCTTGCTCTTGAATTCAGTTTAATTCCATGATTTAAATTAAATTAACACTCCTGAGCACAACTGTGACATGAACAAACCTCACCTTGTTCTGCTGATTTTTCCACCCACTCAGGATTTTTAAAAAAAGGCTGATTTGGGCTATTTGAAAAACAACGAAGCAGCTTTTGTCCCTGTCCCGGAGCTGTGACACCCCTGCCATTCCTGCTGAGGGATATTTCCATCCACAACCCCTCTCCCCACCATGGGGAAAGCGCAGCTGGCAGGGGAAGGCTGGAGCGGATCCCGGGGGATCCAGCCCCTCCCGCATCCCAAAGGATGCTCAGAGCGCTGCTCTGCCCATCACAATTAAATCCAATTCCAATGATTTTCGCTGTTTTTGCTGCTTTTTTTTTCCAGGCAGAGGCGGGGAGCCGGTGAGGTTTTGTTGTTGTTGTTTTTTTCCGGGTGGTTGTTACTATGGCGAGGGAGCTGAGCCGGGGAGGTCAGGAATTCCCGGCTGACAATTCCAAGCCTGTTCCTTTCATTCCCAGCTGCCGGGCTTGGCGCAAAAACACCAGAACCCGGCCGTTCCCAGCCCCTCTTCCCTCGGGACACGGGGGAGAGGAAGAACCTTTTTCCGGAGTTTCCCCGGTGGATTTCTCTGCCCCACTGAGGAGGGGCTGGATGGGTTTGACCCTCTCTGGTGGCAGGTGGAGTTTTGGGGCTGTGAGGATCATCCCGGCTCTGTCCCGTTCCCAAACGGGAGGAAATTTGGCTTCCAGCCCCTTGGAATTTCAACGCTGGAGCAGCAAAACTTCCAAATCCTGGAGAGAAGAGAGATGGGAAGGGAAAGGAGCTGCTCTGACATCTCCCCCTGTTCATCCCATGAATCCTTTGGAATCTCACCCACCTGGCTCTGATAAATCCCAAATTATTGCAGATCTATAAATGCCACGAATCCTCCAAAACGAGGAATGGGTTTTCCTTGGAGGGAATATCCAGGGAGAGCCTCTCCGGGGCTGTCCCTGCCCATCCACGCTCCAAATCCACTTGGAAAAAAAAACCCTGGAGGGTTTCTCCAACCAAGGAATTTCATTCTGCAGGGATAAGGAGCGGAGAGGGCTCGCCCCCATCTCCTCTGGTGGAAAAGCAATTTCCTCTCCTTTGGATTTCCAATGTCAATTAGTCTGGGAGGATGAAGCGATAATTCGATAATTCCCCGGGCCTGGGAAGGGAATGTGGCCGCAGGATGCTCTGCCAGCTCCCCGGTGGAATCCAGGTGATTTTTGGAGCGCCGGAGGCAAAGGCGTGGAATTCAGGAATTCAGCGTGAGAGCCTGACCTTGATTTCCTTGAAAAAGCACAGGAGGGAAGAGGAGCAGATTCTTTGTGTGCCAAGGCAGCTGAATTCAGGCAGAGCTTTGCATTCCAGCGGAATTCCCGGCTTTTTGCTCCGTTGTTCCTATGGAGGACCCACCTGAAGAAATCTTCAACCCTTTCTGCGTGCTGGGATGTCGAAAAGGAATTTTTAGGCCATTTTAGGCAATTATTGCTGATCTTTGGACGGAGAAATTGCCTGGCCCCAGGCAGGTTCTGCTGCTGGCAGGCACTGGAGTGGCGCTGGTTGTGTCTCATCCCTGCACTTTGGATTTGAAGGAATAAAGGGCAGGAATGCCTGGACGCCAATCCATCAAGCAGCTGGAAACAAGAGCTGGCTCTGCTTTGCTAATTAGCCAGCCCAGGCTGAACTTGTCCATAAAAATTCACCTGGAAAGAAAAATCCATCATCCATGGGAGCAAAACCCCAGCGCTGCCGGGCACAAATCCCGGGAATGCTGCTCGCTGCTTTTTCCTTTATTCTGGGAGGGTGGAAAGCGTCTCTTGATGTGCTGCTGCTGCTTTTTTCTCGTGGCTTTGTGTCCCTTTGTCCCCGCTGAGCCGGGAATTGCACCAGGAATTGCACCGGGAATTGCACCGGGGATTGTGGATGGCCCCACGCCAGGCCCTGCTGCTGGAGGGTTTCTCATTTATTTATTTTTCTTTTTATTTATTCTCATTTTCTTTATTAATTCCTCATGCGATAAATGATGTCAAGCGCGCTCCTGAACATTCATTTGGGAAGATAAATAATAATAAAAACAAACAAGCCCTGCTTGGATTAATCAGATTTTATGGAGTTGGGTGGGAAGGGATTTTCCTGCCAGCGTTGCTTTTGTCCCTCTCCCTTCGCCCTCTCTCCGTCCTCCCACGCTAATTAAACTCATTTTTATCACTCTTAATGACCGAGAGAGAAGATGGAGCTCTTTTTCCCCGGGGTTTCAGAGCTGGGGGTCCACATCCCTGAGGGGGAGGATGTGAGGAAGGTCAGGAGGAGGAATCTGCTGGCTCAGAGAAGGAGAAGTTCCCCAGCCAGGAAAACAGGCGTGGAAGGAGCAGAGGCCCAGTTTGAATGTCACCCGGGGAGCAGCAGGACAAACTGACTCCAACCTTCTCCCTGGTTTGGGGTTGGTTTTGGGTGGGGTTTTTTTTCCCCTTTCTTTTTTTTTTTTAATTTATTTTCCCATCTCTTTTTGTTTTGTTTTATTTTTAGGCTCGGTCTCTGCGTGAGCTGCTGAGGTGGCTCTGGAGCCACAGGATTGATGGAGAGGCACTGAAAGGTGGTGGGGGTGCTCGGGGGTGGCACAGGGGACAGGGGAGAGTGGCAGGGGTGCTCTGGGTGTGGGGGTGGCACAGGGGACAAGTGGCAGTGGCAGGGGCGCTCTGGTCCTGCTCTGCTCCTGGCAGGGTGAGGTTTGCGCTCTGAGATTTTCCCTCAGTTCAGGAGGAACATTTTGGGGCTGGAGCGTGTCCAGGGGAGGGAACCGGGCTGGGAAAGGGTTTGGAGAATCCTGAGGGAGCTGGGAAGGGTTTGGAGAGTCCTGAGGGAGCTGGGAAGGGTTTGGAGAGCCCTGAGGGAGCTGGGAAGGGTTTGGAGAGTCCTGAGGGAGCTGGGAAGGGTTTGGAGAGTCCTGAGGGAGCTGGGAAGGGTTTGGGGAGCCCTGAGGGAGCTGGGAAGGGTTTGGGGAGCCCTGAGGGAGCTGGGAAGGGTTTGGGGAGCCCTGAGGGAGCTGGGAAGGGTTTGGGGAGCCCTGAGGGAGCTGGGAAGGGTTTGGAGAGTCCTGAGGGAGCTGGGAAGGGTTTGGGGAGCCCTGAGGGAGCTGGGCAGGGGCTCAGCCTGGAGCAAAGGAGGCTCAGGGGGAATTTCTGGCTCTGCACAACTCCCTGACAGGAGGGGACAGCCAGGCAGGATTTGGGATCTCATCCCAGGGAACAGGGACAGGAGGAGAGGGAACGGCCTCCGGCTGTGCTGGGGAGGCTCAGGTTGGACACCAGCAGGAATTTCCTCATGGGAAGGGTTGGAAGGGGCTGCCCAGGGAGGTTTGGAGGTGTCCAAACAATTCCTGGACGTGGCACTGACTGCTCAGGGTGGGGATCGGGCACAGCTTGGCTGATCCTGGAGAACTTTTCCACCCTCATTGATCCCAAAATTCTCTTTTCCAGCATAAACCCCTTCCCAGCGGCCACCATGGAGCTGCCCAGCACCAAGGACTTCCAGTGGAAGTCGCTGGCGCCGCTGCCCAGCCGCAGGGTTTACTCCACGCTGGTGGAGGCGGGCGGGCAAGTCTTCGCCGTGGGCGGCTGCGACGACAACGGCGTCCCCGTGGACTCCTTCGAGGTCTACTCGCCCGAGGCCGACCAGTGGGCATCGCTGCCCGCCATGCCCACCGCCAGGGCCGGCGTGGCTGTGACCGTGCTGGGCAAGAGGATCATGGTGATCGGCGGCGTGGGCGCCGACCAGCTGCCGCTGAAGGTGGTGGAGATGTACAACACGGACGAGGGGCGCTGGAGGAAGCGCAGCTCGCTGCGGGAGGCGGCCATGGGCATCTCGGTGACGGCCAAAGGCGAGTGTTGGGGAAGGGGAAGGTTTGGCAAGGAGGTTTCGCTGGAAACTCTCCGAGTGTGGAACCTGAGGAGGAATAGACAGAAGCAAGTTTGGATGTAGAGGAATAATAATGGATTGTGGAGATCTTCCCTGAGGATCCTCCTGATGGGGACACCCCTAAAAAGTTGTGTCAATGTCTTGGGGTGGTGAAGGTCAGGGTGACCCTGAGATCATGAAGAGTCTTTGCCTCCCAGCCCTGCAGCCAAAGGAGGAGTCTGGAACGCTCCGATTGCGCTTTCAAGGTTGTTTATTTCTCTTTATCTGTAACATTCTTTCTCTGACCTGCCGAGCTCTGCCTGGCAAGGAGGCCGTGCCATTCTGCCCCGAGCCTCGGGCAGCTCCCACCTTACAGACTCAAAACTACGTGTCTGTGTTTACAATTTATTATCAATTCCCATCATCTGTGTTAGACACTGAATTTCTACCTTAAACCAATAGAAAAGTGTCACCACCACAGCAAGACATGGAGGACAAGATGAAGGAGAAGAAGGCCAGGACACGCCCAAATCCCTCCATCTTGACCCCCTGAATTATATTCTAAAAACCCCAAATTTCCACTTTTCCACCCTGTGTTAACTCAACTACCACACCACTCAAACCCTTGTGGTTTGTAATTCCTTATACAAAACCAACAGCTTTTTCCGCAGGCTAAAATCGAAGCCACGGCTGTTTTTGACTTCTTGCAGAGTCTGCTATAGACGGCGTGCAAAACTTTAGATAAGATAACAATAAACAAGAAGCTGAAGACCCAAAAAGTCTCATGGATCTCCTTTTCCTGACACAGAACCGCTCCAGGAGGGTTTCCCCAGCAGGAGAACCCCCAGGGAGGGGCCCAACGTGGGGCCAAGAAATGGATAACAACGTCACCAAAACTAAAGGGTGGCTCTGTCACCCACAGACTGCTGTAAAATCTTCTAGAATACAATATATAACAATATATATAATATATATATAATATCTATACAATATATAATAATACACATGATATATAATACAATAAACAGCATTTTGAAGAGCCACCTGGAGTCCCACACTGGGGATTTGGGGATCTGGTTGATAAATTGGTGATTGTGAGTTTGAAGGCCCCAAGTTGGGCAACTCCCTGGGGGCTCCCCTGGCAGGGGAGACCCTCCTGGAGCAGTTCTGTGTCAGGAAAAGGAGATGCACATTGGACTTTTTGGGTCTTCAGCTTCTGTTTATTGATATCTTATCAAAACTTCAGCACGCCGTCTGCACCAGACACTGCGTGAAGGAAAAACAGCACAAAAATGGCTAAAAATCTCCTGTTACAAGTCTTTTTAAGTCTAATCAAAACTAAGCTACCCAATTAAGAAATTACACCTAAATTATTTCCCTTTCTACCCCAATAACCGACCCCTAAAAACCTGCAATGTGGATTTTTCTACCCAATTACGAGATACCACCCAAACCCAAGAAGAAAGAGGAAGAAGAGGAGAGAAGAAAGGAACTCGAGACAACAATTTATATCCTCCACCTTGAACCCATCTATAACATCCTAAAAATCCTAAAACCTAAATTTCTCACCCATGTGACATGCTACACTACAATCTCTCCAATCTATTTCACGCTTTTGTGGTTTCTAGTTTACTTTGAGGATTTGGAATTTTTCTCCATGAGTGAGGGTCAAAGTCAGTGTTTTCCTGGGAGTCAGGACACCCCGGGGCAGACAGAGAAATATTCCCGGTGCCCTGGGTTCCCACAGGTGATTAAAGGCTGGGCTTGATGAGCTTGGAGGTTTTTCCTGGCTTTGATTTTGTTCTCAGGCACAAAATCTCTCCGGGCAGCACTCCAGGGTTGCTTTGTTCGCCTCCAAAACCTCTTCTATGCTTCCAGGAGTTTGGGCTCGTGCATTTGTCACCTCCCACCCTCCTGAGATGCTCCTTGGGAGGTTGGAAGCACAGACAGAGCCACCACTCCTGGGTTTGTCACCAGCCCTGGCTCTGCTGGTCCCTGGGGGCGATTTGGACAGTGCCAAGCTCCAGCGGCTCAGATCCAACTTTCTTGTGGGTTTACAGCAAATTCTGGTCCTTGAGTGCATTTTTTTTCAGGTAAGGGGGATTTCTAGTGCTTTCCCAGAGCAGTTTTGTGGGATTTTTTTTTTTTTTTTAAGGGGGGATGGATTTCTGGTGCTTTCCTATAATAATTGTATGGGATTTTTGGGATTTTTTTGGCCCAGATTACAGGGTGTACGCAGCGGGCGGGATGGGCTCGGACCTGCGGCCCCACAACTTCCTGCAGCACTACGACGTGCTCAAGGACATCTGGGTGTCCCTGGCTGCCATGCCCACCCCCCGCTACGCAGCCACGTCCGTCCTGAGGGGCAGCAAGATCTACGTGCTGGGTAAGGACCCGCCCTGCCTCCTCCGCTCTTCTTCCTCCTTCCTTCCCCATCCTTCCTCTTCTTCTCCTTCTCTTTCCTTTTCCTTCCTTTCTCTTCATTTTTCTTCTTTCTCCTTCCCTTTCCTTTTCCTTCCTTTTTCTTTCTTCTCCTTCATTTTCTTTCCTTTTTCTTCATTTTTCTTCCTTTTCCTTCTTTTCCCTTCTTTTCCCTTCCTTTTCCTTCCTTTTCCTTCCTTTTCCTTCTTTTCCCTTCTTTTCCCTTCCTTTTCCTTCCCTCTCTTTCCTTTTTCTTCATTTTTGTTCTTTTTTCTTCCTTCTCCTTCCTTCTCATTAGTTTTTTTTTTTCCTTTTGCTTCCTTTTGCATCTTTTCTCTTCCTTCACCTATTTTTTTCTTCCTTCTCCTCTTTCTCCTCCTCTTCCTCCTTCATGCCTGGCACTGGGATAACTGGGATCCCCAGCACTGGGATAACAGGGATCCCTGGCACTGGGATAACTGGGATCCGAGCACTGGGATGACTGGGATCCAAGCACTGGGATGACTGGTATCCAAGCACTGGGATAACTGGGATCCAAGCACTGGGATAACTGGGATCCGAGCACTGGGATAACTGGGATCGGAGCACTGGGATGACTGGGATCCAAGCACTGGGATAACTGAGATCCCTGGCACTGGGATAACTGGGATCCGAGCACTGGGATAACTGGGATCCCTGGCACTGGGATAACTGGGATCCGAGCACTGGGATAACTGGGATCCAAGCACTGGGATGACTGGGATCCAAGCACTGGGATAACTGGGATCCAAGCACTGGGATAGCTGGGATCCGAGCACTGGGATAACTGGGATCCGAGCACTGGGATGACTGGGATCCAAGCACTGGGATGACTGGGATCCCCGGCACTGGGATAACTGGGATCCCCGGCACTGGGATAGCTGGGATCCGAGCACTGGGATAACTGGGATCGGAGCACTGGGATGACTGGGATCCAAGCACTGGGATAACTGGGATCCAAGCACTGGGATAACTGGGATCGGAGCACTGGGATGACTGGGATCCAAGCACTGGGATAACTGGGATCCGAGCACTGGGATAACTGGGATCCGAGCACTGGGATGACTGGGATCCAAGCACTGGGATGACTGGGATCCCCGGCACTGGGATAACTGGGATCCCCGGCACTGGGATAGCTGGGATCCGAGCACTGGGATAACTGGGATCGGAGCACTGGGATGACTGGGATCCAAGCACTGGGATAACTGGGATCCAAGCACTGGGATAACTGGGATCCGAGCACTGGGATAACTGGGATCTCTGGCACTGGGATAACTGGGATCCAAACACTGGGATGACTGGGATCCAAGCACTGGGATAACTGGAATCCCAGGCACTGGGATGACTGGGATCCAAGCCCTGGGATGACTGGGATCCAAGCACTGGGATAACTGGGATCCCTGGCACTGGGATGACTGGGATCCAAGCACTGGGATAACTGGGATCCCTGGCACTGGGATGACAGGTATCCGAGCACTGGGATAACTGGGATCCAAGCACTGGGATAACTGGGATCCAAGCACTGGGATAACTGGGATCTAAGCACTGGGATAACTGGGATCCCCAGCACTGGGATGACTGGGATCCAAGCACTGGGATAACTGGGATCCAAGCACTGGGATAACTGGGATCCCTGGCACTGGGATAACTGGGATCCAAGCACTGGGATGACTGGGATCCAAGCACTGGGATAACTGGGATCCGAGCACTGGGATAACTGGGATCCAAGCACTGGAATAACTGGTATCCAAGCACTGGGATAACTGGGATCCGAGCACTGGGATAACTGGGATCCAAGCACTGGGATAACTGGGATCCAAGCACTGGGATGACTGGAATCCAAGCACTGGGATGACTGGGATCCAAGCACTGGGATAACTGGGATCCGAGCACTGGGATAACTGGGATCCAAGCACTGGGATGACTGGGATCCAAGCACTGGGATAACTGGGATCTGAGCACTGGGATAACTGGGATCTGAGCACTGGGATAACTGGGATCCAAGCACTGGGAGCAGCAGCTGCTCCAGTTCTCCTGCTCTCAGCAGCTCAGGCCAGGCCTCACTGGATCCGAGCTCCTGGAATTCCAAACCCAATCCCAGCTCTGTTCTGAGTCTGTCTGGATTAAACCGGCACATTTCAAACCCCTCCCTGTGCCAGCACCACGGGCAGCGGGGAGAGGTGGCAAAATTCAGATTTTTCCTGTCCCAAGACAGAGAAAAGGAGCACAGAGAGGCCAAAAATCCAAAGTTTCACTCGGGGCTGCAGGCATGCCTCAGGTTTTGGATTTTCTATTTTTCATATTCTGTGCTGCTTTCATGTGTGGGTCTGAGATTTGTATTATGGGATGGTGAGGTCTCTGCTGGGGACCAAGGACAAATGATCCAAACCTCAGGCCCAGGAGCACAAACAACGTGGGCTGAAGAGAGAAAAACAAGGATGGAACTTGATGGGCTGGAATTGAACAATTAACTCCAATATGCAAATAGAGCAGAACTTATAAAAGTGAGAGACCCCGTGAGCAGTTGTCCATTTTTGTGACCATTTTGTGACCTGTGACAGCATCAGGTATAGGAGACAGTAAAGAAGGTGACATGTGAACTCCATCATCCAGAAAGCAAATTCTTTTTTTTTTTTAATTAACAAACCCATGCTTTTTATACCCTAATTGGCTACAAGTGGATTGATTGGTCCTTTAATTAAAACACCATCACTGCTGGCTAATGAAGAAACCAGTCTTTGGTAAACAAATCTCCATAGCACATTCCACATGTGCACAACAAGAGGTGCAGCAAGCAGATAAGAATTGTTTCTTGTTCTTTTTTCTGATCTTCTCACAGCACAGAGAAGGATCTGCACACCACACTCCACATGTGCACAAGAGGTGCAGCAGGTTAAGACAAGAATTTTTTCTCCTTTTTTTTAATCTTCTCACAGCCTTTTCCAGGATGACGAGTGGGAAATTCGTGTGTTTCTTTGTGTGAGCAGAGAGCTGCTGCCCGAGGTGGATCCATTGAGGCCGTTAATAAATCTCTGCTTTATTCCTGAGCTCTGCCCAGTCTCTGCTCCAGCTCGGCCTTCCCAAGGCTGCTCCATCCCTGAGCTGGAATTCTGGAATTCCCTCTCCTTCCCAGGGGGAAGGCAATCCAAGTACGCCGTCAACGCCTTCGAGGTTTTCGACACGGACACGCGCTCGTGGACCAAGTTCCCCAACATTCCCAACAAAAGAGCCTTCTCCAGCTTCGTGCCCACCGAGGAGAAGCTCTTCAGCCTCGGGGGGCTGCGCCAGGGCCGGCTCTACCGGCAGCCCAAGTTCATGAGGACCGTGGACGTGTTCGACCTGGAGCAAGGTGGGAGCCCCTGGCCCTTCCCGAGGGGCTTGGGGACACAGGGGTGGGTTTGGGGTCACAGGGATGGGTTTGGGGTCACAGGGATGGGTTTGGGGACACAGGGATGGGTTTGGGGTCACAGGGATGGGTTTGGGGACACAGGGATGGGTTTGGGGTCACAGGGATGGGTTTGGGGTCACAGGGATGGGTTTGGGGACACAGGGATGGGTTTGGGGTCACAGGGATGGGTTTGGGGACACACAGGCCTGGGTTTGGAGTCACAGAGGGCTGGGTTTGGGGTTTGGGGTCACAGAGGGCTGGGTTTGGGGTTTGGGGACACACAGGCCTGGGTTTGGGGTCACAGGGATGGGATTGGGGTCACAGAGGGTTGGGTTTGGGGTTTGGGGTCCCAAAGGGCTGGGTTTGCAGTCACAGGGATGGGATTGGGGTTTGGGGACACACAGGGCTGAGTTTTGGGTCACAGAGGGCAGGGTTTGGGGACACAGGGACGGGTTTGGGGTCACAGGGATGGGATTGGGGTCTCAGGGCTGGGTTTGGGGTTTTGAAATGCACAGGGCTGAGTTTGGGGACACACAGGGCTGGGTTTTGGGTCACAGAGGGCTGGGTTTGGGGTTTGGGGACACACAGGGCTGGGTTTGGGGTCACAGGGATGGGATTGGGGTCTCAGGGCTGGGTTTGGGGTTTGGAAATGCACAGGGCTGAGTTTGGGGACACACAGGGCTGGGTTTGGGGTTTGGGGACACACAGTGCTGGGTGTGGGGTCACAGGGATGGGACTGGGGTCTCAGGGCTGGGTTTGGGGGTTGGGGACACACAGGGCTGAGTTTGAGGACACACAGGGCTGGGTTTGGGGTTTGGGACCCACAGGGCTGGGTTTGGGGTCACAGGGATGGGATTGGGGTCTCAGGGCTGGGTTTGGGGTTTGGAAATGCACAGGGCTGAGTTTGGGGACACACAGGACTGGGTTTGGGGTTTGGGGACACACAGGGCTGAGTTTGGGGTCACAGGGATGGGATTGGGGTCTCAGGGCTGGGTTTGGGGTTTGGGACCCACAGGGCTGTGTTTGGGGCTCTGCCATCCTTGCTGCTGCCTTGAGCTCAGCTTAGGGGACGATTTCCAGTCAGGATCACCAAGCGGAACGGGAAAACCTCAATCCCGAGGCAGCTGGATCCAGCACTGAACCTGGGCCAAACCCAACCCATTCCATGGGGCTTTATCACCCCGAGGTGCAGCAGCCACACTGCCCTTCCATGAGCAGGGGTCAGAGAAGCAGAGGCTGCTCCAGGAGGGGGTGATCCCACAAAACCCAGCGTGTCCTGTCCCTCCAGGTGGGTGGATGAAGATGGAGCGCTCCTGCTACCTGAAGAAAAGGCGAGCAGACTTCGTGGCCGGCTACCTGCGAGGCAGAGTTGTCGTGGCTGGGGGCCTGGGTGAGGCTCTGGGACTCTGGGAACCCTTAAAAAGGTGTGGGAATTGTTGTCATCCCAAAAAAAAAAAAAAAAGAAAGGAGAAATCCCGAAATCCCGGTGCTGGCTGGTGGGAGGGAAAACAAACCCCATAAGGAAATGGGGTACAAAGCAGCCAAGGGAAGCTCGATGCTGCTTCCCAGATCATCCAGCGCCTCCTTTTGTGCTTCCAGGGAATCAGCCGACTGTGCTGGAGTCGGCAGAGGCTTTCCACCCCGAGAAGAACAAGTGGGAGAGCCTCCCCCCCATGCCCACCCCGCGCTGCGCCTGCTCCAGCATCGCTCTGCGGGACTGCCTGCTGGCCGTGGGGGGCGTCAGCCAGGGGCTCAGCACGGCCGTGGAGGCGCTGTGCATCTCGGATTCCTGACCCCAGAGCCCTGGAACACATCCCTGTGCCTCTCGGATTCCTGATTGGAACCCCCCAGAGGAGAATCCCACCTGGAACAGGTCCCTGTGCCTCTCGGATTCCTGGTTCAATCCTACCTGGGACAGGGTCTGGAACCCCCCGGAGGAGAATCCCACCTGGAACAGGTCCCTGTGCCTCTCGGATTCCTGATTGGAACCCCCCGGAGGAGAATACTACCTGGAACAGGGCCCTGTGCCTCTCGGATTCCTGATTGGAACCCCCCGGAGGAGAATCCCACCTGGAACAGGGCCCTGTGCCTCTCTGATTCCTGATCCAATCCTACCTGGAACAGATCCCTGTGCCTCTCAGATTCCTGACTGGAACCCACCCGGAGGAGAATCCCACCTGGAACAGGGCCCTGTGCCTCTCTGATTCCTGATCCGAGACCCCCCGGAGGAGAATCCCTCCCGGAGCAGGTCCCTGCCCCTGGCTGTCCCCAGTGGTGGCATTGGGGACAGTGCTGGCAGCTCCGATCCGTCCCTTCCTGCCTCCCGAAATCCTGGACAGAGCAGCGTCCTGGGAATGAACCCGCTGCAGGATTTATGGGCGAGGTGACAGCGACTGGGATGACAAAGCCAGAGCTGGGGGTGTCCAGAGAGGGGGGAAGGAGCAGCTCTGAGCCCCGAGGAGGGAAAAGCAGCCCTGGATGAGCCCCAAGCTCCCATCACCCCACAGCACCCCGGGGACACCCCTGGAGCTGCCGAGTCCAGCCCTGCGTGCCCCTGGCTCGGGGTGGGGAATTTTCCCCGCTATGGATCCGTGCGGAACCCGGAGGGTGAGGGCGGCGTTCCCCTCCCTGCCCTGACCCTGCACCTCAACCCTGCCCTTCCCTGAGATGCTCCTGCTGGGAAACGGGACCCTGCAGGACACAGCCTCCCGGGTTTGGGCACAGCCGGGCCGTGCCCGCCCTGCAGGTGACGGAGATGTGACCTGAGCCCAGGCTGGGCTGGGGCGGGCGCTCCTGGCTGTGCCCGCGGGGCGGTTTTGAGGATTGAAGCGGTTTGGGGTGGTTTGGTTTGGGCTGGGCGCGCCCCGGGTCTCTTGGCAGAGCTGCGGACAGCAGATGGCATCCCTGGGCTGAGCTGCGCTGCAGCAGCACCTCGGGCAGCCCTCCCGTGGCCTGGGCTGCCCTGGCCGGGCGCTGCTGGACCGGGGCCACTCTAAAATCCCATTTCAGGTGGTGCAAGAGCCAGCAAATAAATTGGATGCTGCGCGTCTCCTACAGTAAATTATTCCCGCAGAGAGACACCCGTGTGGAGCCCAAACATCTCCCAGGAGGTGGGACAGAGATGGGTTTGGGTCTGAAGAGTCCCTGATGCTGCTGCCACCACCAGTCCAGGAAATGCCTCCGGGGCTGAGCCCCGAGTTCTGCAGTGAATCCCTTTGGGATGAGAGGGCAGCAGAGCTCCTTTCCCTGGATAAATGCTGGGTTTGTCACCAGCCAGCTCCTCCTGGCCCTGGGGAGCTGCAGGAAGCCCTGGGCCGGTCCCTCTGGCCCCGCACCCTCCATGCCCGCACGCCTTTATCCCAACCCAGCCGAGCCTTCGGAGTTTCCCAGCGCCAAAAAAAAAAAAATTAAAAAAAAATATCCCGGAGCGGCCCCGGCCGTGTCCTCGCCTGAACTCCGCAGGCTCGAGGTTTACTGAGAGGCTTTTCAGCCCCGGTGGCTGCTCCGACACAGAGGCACAGGGCCGAGCTGCTGCCAAAAATCCTCATTTATCGTCCCCGAGCAGACTTTCCTGCACAAACAGGAAACTTCCTCAAGGAACATCCTCCAGAGGATCCGGCGGTGGAGCTGAAATGATTCCTGCACCTCGTCATGGGCCCGGGACACCCCGGCTGTTGGGGACAATATTTTTTGGGGTCAGCTCTGCCCTTTGTGGTGACAGCTCCCAAAAAGAGCCCAGTGTGGGGTTGTGTGAGTGCTGCTCCAGCTTCAGCTGGGAATTCTGCTCTGGAGAGCGGAATCGAGCTCTGGGAGGCACCTCTGTCCCCGCCATCCTCACCCCTGGGGTGTCCCCAACCCTGTGGGGTCACCCCCGGCTGTTCCCATTCCTGGGGAATCTGCCGGGGCTGGAGCGGATGTGGAGTCACCATCCTGAGACACAGACGCTTCCTGCTCGCAAAATAAAAGCTCCGGGTTTTGGTTTGGTTT